ATGTAATCTAACACAATCCATTCATTTTCAAGTCACAGAAACAGACGCCAAGATAGCTTAAGTGAACGGAAGCAGCAAAGTACGCAGGAAATAGAACAAGTTGTTAGAGTCAGTTAAACTCTTTTACTTTCATTTCCATCAGCAGAAAGGTGACAGTAATAGCACAAGAAGCTGTCACTGCTGTCCAGGGACACAGCATATGCAAAGCACCAGGCACAAAATAGATACTAAGTAAATATTCCCTTTCATTTTCTTTCTTCCCTTTATTGATAACAACATAGAAATTCTATGGCAGAGTTAGGAATAACTCTACTTGACTCCCAGGACAGCTCCCTCCTGCACAGTACAGCAGTCCACTGTTAGAATCTCATGGGAAGGAACCACAAAGGCCTCCAACTTTCTCCAAAGAGGAGGAGCTATCTTCAAAAACTCTTATCTAGTTTTCTTATGCATGCACCAATCTCATTCTCTTCTCTAAACATGTGAAAGCCTTGATTCTGAATCCCCACTCCTGTAGGAATGTTCTTCTTCCTCCTTTCCATCTATCCAAATCCTCTCATTCACTCATTTATTCATTCAGACATTCAGTCTGCATGGAGTCAGAGAGTCATCAAACCTTTACTGAGTACTTATTGTGTGGCAGGCACTGGGATGGGAGTGGAGATTATGGCACCAAAGAGAATAGTCCTTCCTTCAGGGAGTCTAGCAGGGCAGTCTAGTTTAAACACAGATATGCTCACACCAGGAAAGTTAAGGGATGATGTTATAGAGGTATGGGCATGATATCTTGGGAACATTAGACAGGAAAGACGAGGTGTGCCTGAAAGGTCTCTGCCATTATTCTTACTGCAACTACACACCCATCATATTCTTCTCTACCTCCCATTATACATGGAGATGGCCACACACAACAACTGAGCCCGTAAGTACATATACTGCTTACTATCAGTGCAGTGATATCAACATGTAGATAGGTATAGGGTGTGTATCTAGCCAGAAAGGACCAGGGCAGTCCAATCAAGGTACCTCAGGTTTATCTAGAAAAGCAGTGGGTCATGCCCAGGGCTAGAGGATGGATAATTCCATCACTAATAAACTTTAGTAAGGGCTTCCTACAGTGTTTCTAAATCTTGGTTGCACACTGGAATTATCTGGGGAGCATTTGAAAAATAGAGATGCCTAAACCCTACCTTAGGCTTATAGAAGCAGGATCTTTTGAGATGAAGCCCAGGCATATGGGTTTTTAAGTGACATGTGGTTGATTCTGATGATTAATTAGCAGGGGTTGGAAGCACTGGTCTGTTTTGTGCCAGACATTTGCAGAGCACTGAGAATACACGAGCAGTCCTATTCATGCCTTAGAAGATAAGTCTCTATCCTAGAAAGACTGAGTCAGGTGGGAGAGACAGGCAAGCAAAGATGAACAATCAACCAGATAAGTTCTCAGATACAAAGTGATGTTGGGGAACTAAGATGAGAAGGACCAACATACTTCCGGGAAGCAGGGAAAGCTTCCTAAGTAATGTTGCATTTGAGACGAGATATAAAGGATGAGCAGGAGTCTCCCAAATGAAGGAGGTGTCGAAGGAGATCCCAGGTGCAGGACAGAGCCTCTAGCTCCCATAGGGCTTAGCCAGTAGGTCAGGTGATCTGCAGGGAAGTTGGAGGGAGAAGGATTAGGGAACTTCTATCCTGGGACTGGGCTCTTAGGTGTGTTTGAGCTGGAGACAGTGATGTGCTAGATTGCATCACTGATTTATAGCTGTTTCATAAACCATTTTTATTTCTTTCAACCCGACCTTGTACCTAGAAGACAGTCAAAAACAGAACTTGCAATGGGAATGTGTGAGAAGGGCAACAATTCCCTCAAATTTGAAGTCAAAGGGAGGCTTTCCTTGGTAACCTATGGAATTCAATTGAGTGATCATAGGAGGGGGAAGGGCAGGAAGGGGGGGGGGTCATGCTGCAAGGGAAAGGCATGGTGATGGGAGCAAGGTCTGCACATTCTAGGACCTTCAGGGTCCGTGTGGCTGGGGCAAAGCACTGGGGGAAAGGCAGTGGCCAGGGATAAGGTCGGGGAGGAAGGTGTGCTCCATCCAGGCTTTTGAAAGGCTTCTGATGCTCTGCTGCAGTATAGACTTCATCTCGTTGGCATTGGCAAATCCTGGTTATTTTATGCAGAGCAGTGACAGGGTCATCTTTCCTTTTCTGAAAGGTCATTCTGAGCATATGTATATTTTCTTTCTCCAACAGAATTGTAAGCTTGCTGTCAACAGGGATCATATCTTGAATTTTTTTTTTTTTTTTTTTGGTATCACCAACAGTGCTTAGCAGAGCAAGAGCAAGGGATACATGTTGAGATGTCAATAGTTAATGGATTCATTAATTATTTGAGCAGCACAAACCCATACTCAAGTTAATGTTATAATACAGGTATCACATCCCATGTGGTACCTGATACTTAGAGATCTCAGGCAATCTTAAGCTATGCTTCTTAATGTAACATGCACACAAATCACCTGAGGATCTTGTTAAATGAGGATTCTGATTTCTTATGTCTTTGGTGGGGCCTGAGATCTTGCATTTCCAACAAGCTTCCAGATGCTGCTGCTGCTGCTGATTTAGATTCCTGCACTTTGAGTGGTGGGTATCTTGAGATGTGGCCCCCTTATTTGGAAAGGTTCCAGTGGCGGGGTCATCTGTGAATTGTGGAATGTTCTACAGGGATTATGGAAGTAGAGAGGCTTCATCTTGAGAGGCTAAGACTCCAGACAGCTTCCTGGGGACTGGTTTGGAGGGCAACCACATATCTTTGAGGCCCTTTGGGTAGATATTGATGTTATTTGCCTTTAAAGAAGCCTCTGGTGCTGTGGCCAGTTTCTTCCCTGCACTACTAGAATTGAATTCCAAAGAAAATCCATTAGTAACAGTAGAATTGCTAATAGAACAGCAGATTAAGTCAGAGGGCTCTAAAAACAGCGTGCTATCAGCGTGTCATTTGTTTAGGTCTATGTAGAATAGAGTTTTTCTCAGGAATTTTCAAGTTTGAAATTTGATTATGGGCCACTTTGTAATTTCTTGATATTTTCCTCTTTTCTCCTCTGTGAAAACAATACTCATGGCCAGGTGATGGCAAGCTGGAAGTCCCTCAGGCCTCGCTAGCTGGTAGGCATAAAGATGGCCACATTGGGTAGGCTGAGGTCTGGCAGCTTGCTGCCACTCATCACTATGAACAGGGTCTCAGTCTTCATTTTGAGGTTTCCTTGACCTTTCTTCTGACTCTCAGAGAAGCCCCAGGCCACATCTTCCTCCATCCCAATGTTAGTATGCACTGTTGCCTGCGCTTGCATCTTTCAGCCATGGACCCACCATGGCTGCTCCATCTCAGACAGCTCCTCATGACACTGCCAGTCTCCTTTGTCTCCACTCTATGCATGGCTATGGCCATTGCTCACTTGGACCAAAGCTGGGAGTTAGTCCAGGGTAGCAGCAAACAGACTTATCTTTGGAGACAGAATGCCACATATCAGCTGTGTGATTGTGCACGTTCTCTAACCACTCTAAACCTTAGATTTCTTACCTATAAAATGTGGTTAACTGCAGTTCTCTAATCTCAAGATTGTTGAGATAATAAGGTAATCGGCCTAAGCTCCTAACTCTATTCCTGGCTAAGTAAACATTGACCATTATCCTCACTGCTTTTCTCTATCACTGTGGTTCTGGCCTGGGCAAGCTTCATTCTTCTTTCAGCACAGCTGAGACCAGTTAAGTTTTCATGACATGGCCGATGGCTCTGGGATAAGAAAAGGCTATTAAATCAGGGGGAAATACAACTGTTATTTGACGTGGAGACACTTAGGCATGAGAGACCCAAGTGCATTCTCTTGGGGTCCCTCTCAGGGGCCTCCTGGCATGCCTCCAGGGCTATCTTTCTATGTCAGAAGACATTTGTCCTGCAAGAGAATGTTTTTGAACTTATCTAGACTCCTTTGAGTCCAGGCTCAGAGATGAGTTTTGTCATCCTGGGCTCCATTTAGTTTTCCAGCATCAACTCCTTCTTGAGGTTACTGACATTAAGGAACCTTCACTCCCTAGAAAGAGAGCCTTTATCCTACTCTGGGATGTCACCTTACCTTGGAACAAAGGCCAAAGCCTCTTTCCCCTTCCCAGTCTTGCCCCAGGGTTCACTCTCTTTCCTCAATGCAGAGGAAAATTGAACTCTTGACTCAACTCATACTTAATTTCTATTCAGGCCCCCATGAGAGATAATCTCTTATAATAACAATAATAATAATAGCAACAAAAATAATTTTTCTCTTGTTTTCCTTGCCCCACTGCCTCTAAAATGATCTTTCTTAAACATGCGTCTTATTATTCCACTTTCTGCTTAAAGCCATTGTGCCTTCCCTGGAACTTAGGTGACAAAATCTATGTTAGCATAAGCAGCTCTTTATATGTGCTGGTCTTTTGTCCTGAGATGTTCTTTGTTCCTTTGTTTTCTCAGAGAATGACTATTCTGCCATCATGGCCCGCCTCAAATCTGACTTCCTCTGTGGATTCTTCTTGGAACCTGGCTGCGTCCCCTATCCCAGATGTCAGCCAGGATCTCTCCTCCAGGCCTCCTTGACACTCTACACCTTATTCCATCACATGACAACGTATATAATAATTCACTTCCAGCTCCGCCTCCCTTCTGTCAAAGGGAGCTCCGTGAGATAGTCTCTAGTCACAGGAGTGGCAGTGAATGAACTAATGCTTACCTTACATTTTGTTTCCTCTCTCTTCTGACCCTTACTAGAGGTCTGTGAGACAAGTAGGACACATATTTACTGTGATCTCTGCTTTATATATGAGAAAAGGAGTTTCCAACAGGTAGGTGACTAGTTCCTGGTCACCTCGTCAGCTGAGTGAGGGGAGGGGGAAGTAAACCCAGACTGAGTTCTTTGCACTGTCATTCCAATGCCCCTTTTCACTACTTCTGATTGCTTCCATTTTGACAGAAACTAAACCCTGGTAGGAAAAGGGTCTCAAGGAAGACAAGGCATGGGGCCAAGGAAGACTGAGGGAGATGGTGACCTGCTGAGGAGCCAGAGCAGCAGAATCCCTGGGACTCACAGGTAAGGCTGTTGAGTGTGATGAGAACCATGGGGTGTCCACTTGGCTGACTTTAGGACTTGGAGGAAGATGCTCTTTGATGAAGACTAGGTAGATGGGAATGGAGATATAAAGAAGCACCATGAAAATGAGTTTTATGCAAAATCAGATCACAGTCAAAATCCGGTCTCAGGCACCACCTCACAGAGGGTCGTTTCTTTCCAGCAGCCCTCTGGATGGCTCTAAGTGATTAATTTTATGAAAGTCTTGAACTGCTGCTAAGAGCCCTGTTTAAACCTGAAAGCAAAACAAACAAACATGAAGCCCTACAGAGCCGAGAATAAGCTCCAAGAGAGTGAGAGCATTGGAAATAGTTACTGGGATGAAGAAGGGGATCACGGTGTACCTTGTTTCCAACCCCACCAGCATTGTCAACTCACCCACCTGCAAGTCCTGTGGGCAGTCTGAGCTTGGCTGGGGGGACTAGGGGGCGTTGCAGGGAAGATGCCAGGATGGGAGGGCTCAGAGCTATTTCAGACTCAAGGCTAACATTCACGGAGACCTTGAGTTACATCATGAAAACTGTCTGGACTTTAGGCCCCCTTATGCCAAATGCGGTTTCCAGAAAAAGGATCCGCCACATATTTGGAAGCCCATCAACCAAAAGTCGTCTCGTCACTTTCGTGTATGAGATCTTTTCATTTGTGAAGAGTATATTATTTTGCTTAATTATGGGCTTAGAGGAGATGGCATAGAGCAGCGGAAAAAGCATGAGCTGGGAGTCAGAGCGACCTGGGTCTGAATCATGGCCCTGCCATCCGCCAGCTGTGGGGCCCTGGCCTGGTGGGCGTCAGTCTCCTTGTACATGAATAATAATAATTATTATAATAAAATATAATATAAATATAAAAATAAAATATAATTAAAAAAATCACCATCATCATCATCATCATCATCATCATCTTGTAATAATGACCTATATTATAGGGCAGTTGTTAGGACTGGATTGTTAATGCATGTCAAGAATCTTGTCTTATTCTGCTATTTAGATATTTAATAATCAGTAACTAGTATTAATAAAATGTCTGACCTATAACAGTCACATTTGGTAAATGAGGTTTCATGTTCACTCCAGAAATATATAGAGAGTGGTATGTTATATATAATCTTCTTTTGCTGAGAAAATATACTGTTTATACTGTTTATATTAAATTTCCATTTCCCAGTGGAATTTACTGTTATTTCATATCAAAACACCTCCCCATGCTCACCTTTCCTTCTTAGATGAAGCCTCATTGATGTCCCACACGTGCTGATTTTCAGCACCTAGACAATTGGTTGTTTTTAAATACTTATAGTTTATTTATAACCATCTATGTCATGATTAATTATGCGTTTCTTAAGGAAGAGTGCATCTGGAAAGGAGATAGGGTTATCTCTATCAGTCACTCACTGCCCAAGACTTGAGCTTCACCTCCAGTATGGGGATAATATTTAACCCATGTATCTTACAAAGGTGTTTTTTTTCCCCCCTGAAAAAAAAAAAAATCAGGTAAGATCATAAGTGGGAAAGAATTTTTTACATTATAACAGATGTGTAAATTCGAGCTGTGATATGGTTTTTGCTGTAGATCCTTTTGCAGCAGATAGGAAACTTCTTTGTGCTCTGGCCACCTGCCTGGGAGTCACCTTGCGGTTACTTAGAGCCTCTTGGCACCACTGGATGTTAGGAGATTGAGCAACTTTCTTGAGTAATTGTCTCCTCTGACTCACGTTCCTTGCAGTCCCCATAGTGACCTGTGTACTACCCAGGATGAGCAAGGAATTTCTTCTCTGGAGTTGTTTAAGGAATAGCCCCAAACTTTCAGTGTAGTCTTGTTTTATACAACTTCTAGTACTACCTGCCTCAGTGGCCACAGAACAAATCTGTACAGCTGTTGGATTCAGGTTTGCTGAAACAGATTTTGAATACATACTGTGGGAAGGACATAGAATCTCCACCCTAATGAGATTCTTTTCATGGATACCCATCTCTCCTTAAGGCCCAGTTGGGGTGGAAGAGCATAGTTAATACATAGCATGAGTACCAACAAATCATCAAGGGATAACTTTCAGGTGTACTTGACCATCTTTCCTTACTTTCTCTGGTTTCTGGTCTCTTTCTCCCTCCCTCCCTCCTTCCCTCCCTTCCTCCCTTCCTCTTTCTCTTTTTAAATCCCTTACCTTCCCTACTTCCCTTTTACTACACTCTTTCCCAATCAGTAGACCCACCATGGCATTCCCAGGTATAAGTCATTACCTTTGTTAGATGTACTTAGAGTGCAACAGTTGTAGACATCTAGTCCAGGTCCGAGATTGGAATCCCTTGCTCTGTATTATAATTACCTGAGGGCTAAAAGATATGATGTCTGGGCTCCAGTTGAGTTGATATATCAGGGAAGAGATGGGGGAGGTGGATCCTGGGCCTGATACTTTAAAAAGCTTCCAAAAAGATTCTAATGTGCATTCAGCTTACACTGGTTGAAGATATTTGGAGAGTGAAGATATGACAAAACTATTCTAAAAATAAACTAAAATAAGATTTATGGCTCAAAGAGCTGCAATCATGTGGTTTGGCCACACTTGCTTGTTTTCTATCCATCAAATAACAAGTATTTTTTGAGAATCACAGAAAGAGTGGTTGGTTATGCCCAGGCAGAGCTTCTAGGTGAGTTTCAAAGATAAGGCATGTGCTGTACTAAACACTTTTATATACATTATGTCATTCAACCTTCTCAACAAAGCTAGGGGGTCTTTTTATCCCTCCCAGTTTACAAATGAAGAAACAGAGGCACCAAGGGATTGCTTAAAGAGCTCAAGATTTGACCACTAGTTAGAAGTAGAGCCAAGAGGTATGAATATAGACATTTAGCAGTCTTCCTTTTAATTATCATGTGATACCTCCTCTCTACATTGACAGATAAGATGAAAACACAGGCATTTGCTGGAGCAGTGGTTCTCAACCTTGGCTGCATATTAGAATCACTAGGAGAGCTTTATAAAAATGTCCTTCACTCAGGTCACACCTTGGACCAATTAAACCCCCCAGTCTCAAGAATGGGACCCAGACATCAATATTTTTTAAAGTGTCACAGGTGACAAAATTGAAAACTACTGAGTTAGAGGAAAGAGAGCAATACAAATGAGAGACATGAGGATAAGCTTCCTAGGTAATACTTCACCTGAACTTGGCATGAGAGAGAATAAAGCCCTCCCCTTGCTAAAGACGCCCATTTCCTAATCTCAGGGACCTCTAAATATGTTACCTTAAATGACAATGGGGAAGTAAGGGTGTGGATATGTTAAGGTTGTTAATTAGCTGATCTTAAAATGCGGAGTTAGCTTGGAATATTCAGGTGGACCCAGTGTAATCACATGGGTCCTTAATTGTGGAAGAAACAGGCAGAGGATGGAGAACCAGAGAAATGGTAGCATGAAAAGGACTTGGCCTGATTTAGCTGGCTTTGAAGATGGAGAACAGACTTAAGGAATGCAGGTGGCCTTGAGCTGGAAAAGATAAGGAAACAGGTGCTACCCCAGAGCATCCACAATGAACACAGCCTTGCCAACATCTTGTGTTTAGTCTGGTGAAACTCATTCTGGGCTTCTGACCTCCAAAACTGCAAGAAAATGAACTCATATTGTTTAAACCCCTGTTCATGGTAATTCGTTTCAGCAGCAATAAGAAATTAGTATAGTGCCTTAAAAAGGAAGGGTTTAGAGAAATGTGTGGTGTGAAAAATACCCATTTAGCTGCAGATTTGATTTTCTATGTATAAGTATCTATGTACTACACACTTCACATCTCTGCCCTATGCAGTGCCTCTACAATGATAGGCATCTACAGCCTGCAATTGAGCCAGAATTCAAACCCAAACCTTTTAGACTCTAGAATCAGTGCTCATTCCCGTTATCATACTGTGTACTTTTCCTCAAGACTATTTGGCATGCTGGTGGTTTTTCTGATCTCTGCTTTGAGCAAAAGCAAGGAAACGTAATGTCAGAGGAGACTTTATAGCACAGAGAAAACAGATTCTCATTCAAGCCACTTAGAGGAACAAACCACCTCTAATTACTTGGATGTTTAAGGAAGATTGATCTGATAGTTGTGTGCAAGAAGGATGGAAGTAAATGAAGGTGGGGGAAGACAGATCAGTCAAGAAATCCCACAACAACGTAGGCTCCTGAGGGTTTGAATTCTGAATGGCGGGGTAATGGTGGCATTAGAAGTTGAGAGGAGAGAAGAATCCAGGAAACCTGGAGAAGAAAATCAAACCAAGGGAAATCATGCTATTTGAGAAGGGCAAAGGAAAGACAGAGTCAAAGACAAGCTGTGGCAGGCTTAAAGGGTGGTTGGCAGTGCCCCTGACAGAACTGAAGGTGCTAGAAAACAACAAATTTGGGCAGTGGGATGGGATAGAGCAATGGCATAGAATAAAGAATTTGATTGGCATTTGTTCCTGGGAGGGAGACTCTAATCCTTGGACTATCCCAAGTGATATAGAATATTGTTTTTATGCTAATGAAATGGCTCAAGGTAGGCCCCTGGATAATTTTAGTGTGGAGTCTGGTCACAAGAAAGACCAACCATGGGGCGCCTGTGTGGCTCAGTTGGTTAAGTGTCTGCCTTCAGCTCAGGTCGTGATCTCAGGGTCCTGCATCGGGCTCTCTGGCTCAGCAGAGTCTGCTTCTCCCTCTCCCTCTCCCTCTGTGTTCTCTCTCTCGCAAACAAATAAATAAAAATATTGAAAGAAAGGAAGGAAGGAAGGAAAGAAGAAAGAAAGAAAAGAAAGAAAGAAAGAAAGAGAAAGAAAGAAAGAAAGAAAGAAAGAAAGAAAGAAAGAAAGAAAGAAAGAAAGAAAGAAAGGAAGGAAGGAAGGAAGGAAGGAAGGAAGGAAGGAAGGAAAGAAAGAAAGAGAGAGAAAGAAAGAAAGAAAAGAAAGAAAGAGAGAAAGAAAGAAAGAAAGAAAGAAAGAAAGAAAGA